AATTCTCTAAAATCGTAATGTTTGAAATGGAGTATTATTACATGGACTCTAGTAATTAGAAGACTAAAAAAGTTAGTGTATAACATGATCCCCGCTGTGGGTTACTTTGAGATTGACCTTTGGCCCATTTCCCAGTATTCACCTGCAGCGTGTGCATCAGAGTGCAGTCCTCATTCTCCCAGCAGGTAGTGACAGAACAGCAGCAGATATAAGAGGCAGGAGGTAGCCCGAGAGGGAGGGATCAGAGGGTAAGAAGCGTCATGCTCAAAGAGTTACACAGAGAAGGGGGAGGGATCACTACTCAAGTTGCTCTGTGAGTGTTCTAGTCTGAGATTTCGTAGTACTGCTTCTAGACTGAGGAACAGTCTGCCTCACACTTCCAGGGACTAGCAGAGTTCTCCTGTGAAGGGCATGGCTCTATAGCAGGAGAGGTGAAGGGAGCTGAGTCAGGAGTCTGGGGAGGAGACTGGAACATAGGCAGAACAGGCAGTATGTGTTGCAGCATGTTTGTGTCCTTGCCCGGCTGAACCAAAACACGCACACGTCGCTGCACATGCTCTCTGGGAGTTCAGCGCAGGAGTGCTGCACTGTGAAACTGCAGCAATCTTGTGCGAATGTGTGTGTGCCTCCTTAGAGAAAGGTGAGTTTGTGATTTATTTAATGGCTTGCTGCAATTGTTTTTTTCTTCTTATTTTCCAGTTAAAATCTGTCAAATTCTCAAAATAAAATAAATGTACAATGCTGCCGTGCTGCATGAGATATTAAGACTCGTCTTCAGAGAATGTATTAGTAACACTTTAGTTTAGGGACCAATTCTTACTATTGACTAGTTTATCTTATTAGCATGCATATTATAGCATATTGGCTGTTTATTAGTACTGATAAAGCTCATAGTCATGTCTTATTCTGCATGATCCTATTTTAGAGCCCCTAATCCTACCCAGTACCTAAACTTAAAAACTACCTTACTAACTAATAATAAGCAGCAAATTAGGAGTTTATTGTGGCAAAGGTCATAGTTAATAGTTAGTTAATAGTGAGAATTGGTCCCCAAACTAAAGTGTGACCAATGTATTTTTTAATACAAGTGTATTTTGTCTTACTAAACTGGAAGTAAAAGTTTTCATTTATTTAAAAAAATTTGTATTAGATTTGTTAAACTTGAAAACAAGTGAAGAAGCTGCAGCAATCTTGTGCGAATGTGTGTGTGCCTCCTTAGAGAAAGGTGAGTTTGTGATTTATTTAATGGCTTGCTGCAATTGTTTTTTTCTTCTTATTTTCCAGTTAAAATCTGTCAAATTCTCAAAATAAAATAAATGTACAATGCTGCCGTGCTGCATGAGATATTAAGACTCGTCTTCAGAGAATGTATTAGTAACACTTTAGTTTAGGGACCAATTCTTACTATTGACTAGTTTATCTTATTAGCATGCATATTATAGCATATTGGCTGTTTATTAGTACTGATAAAGCTCATAGTCATGATCCTATTTTAGAGCCCTTAATCCTACCCAGTACCTAAACTTAAAAACTACCTTACTAACTAATAATAAGCAGCAAATTAGGAGTTTATTGTGGCAAAGGTCATAGTTAATAGTTAGTTAATAGTGAGAATTGGTCCCCAAACTAAAGTGTGACCAATGTATTTTTTAATACAAGTGTATTTTGTCTTACTAAACTGGAAGTAAAAGTTTTCATTTATTTAAAAAAATTTGTATTAGATTTGTTAAACTTGAAAACAAGTGAAAAAGATTAATTAAAAACTTACTGTCAAGTCATTTTTTGCAGTGTAATAGTTTTATTTATTTTCTACTGATTCAATTGTTATGTGTTAACTGAGTACACTAGTGTGTGTCCTAAATAGGGATAATACTTTTGTCTGTTTTATAGTTATTCAAAACTGGACTGCATTTCATATAATTTATGGGTTGTGTGTGCGCATCCCACAACTATTTAGAGGTCAGTCTACTGTGTTGGGCTTATACGACTAACGACTGCCATGGCAACCAGTAACCCTGCACAGCAAGGACGCATGGTAGTTAACAGCAGGGATTTACTGTAGTAGAGGACAATGTGGTCTGTTAAAGGGGCGAGGCAAAAGAGGCCATATGGGGTCTGCTTTTCAGGACCACTCATGCTGTAGGTCAGAGGACAAAGGAAGACAGTGGCCCCTTATTTAAAAAAGACAGCAGTGATTTGAGGTTACCTGTTTGAAGGCCCCTGTGTGCCGTATATATGGATCAGCAGATCTGGATGCCCCCCATGTAGCTTATATCCGTTTAAATTCTAAACCAACAGACAAGTGTAGCTCATGCTCAATTAAGTTTTTTAGGGCTTAGATATAGGTTCACAGCATAGACAGGAAACAGGAAGTTGTGGAATTGAAACCAACCACGAGAAACAAGATCATAAGCAGACCAAGGCCCAATCCCAATTCTATTTTATACCCCTTCCCCTTTCCCTACCCCTCCGCCTACCCCTTCCCCTTGTCCCTTGAAACAGAGTGTCAAGGGGTAGGGGTGAAAATGTTATTATCCTATTAAACTCAAGTGTAGGTGTGAATAAATGTGGTCTTACAGCTTGAACAAAATTCCAATGATTAGGAAGTTTAAAAAAGTCATTTTTTTATGATCAAAGATTTAAGTATTTGATATATGCTCATGGTTTGGACATACTTATGTAGTATGTAAAGCATTATGGCTTTATAATCTTATAAAAGTAAAAAATGGATACAAACAGTGGGGCTCAAAACTCTGATTCTAAATGTCATTTAAACCTGGAAACAATGTTTGAAATGTTGAAATGTTTCAAGTTTTGAAATGTAAATATTAATTGTTATTTAATATTTCTAGGTCAGCAATGATATGTAAGAAAATTTGTGATATTGGCCCCTTTAACCCCTTTACCTTTGTTCTTTGAAAGAGGCTTTTTGGAACATTTTAAATTCATGTACGTTTTTCAGTTAAACTTTTCATTCAAATTGTTTTATGTCAAACTAAATAATCAAATAAAATATAAACTAAAACAAAATAAAATATTAAAGATTTTTTAAAAAGCATTTTTACTAGTAGACTTCAGTACTCCATTAAAATGATATAGTAAGGCCTTGATTTGTTGTCTGAGGGTATGTAAACAGATTCTCAGGTTGATGACAGGAATTTTGGAGAAGTGTAGCAGACACTGGGTCATTTTTATATGAGGGGCTGAGGGAGAGAGATTTATGGATACAGCGATACAGTACAGTGATTGTTCACCGGTGTGTGAAGTGCATCCTGTTCTTCAGGGGTTTTGCTGTTTTCTGTGAAAATCCAGCCATCTGTCACTACTAAATGTTACTGATATTTGAAACCCTTGTGTTTATTCCAGTCTTGGTTAACAAATTAAAACTCTGAATAAGCTAATGGAATCCGAACCTTTGAGTTTGGCTGGATTTAGATCAGGGCGATTCATTCGATACTCTGACCTGATTCACATTGAGTGGTGTTTGTGCTCAGGCCTGGGAATGTAGATCAATGCATGAATTCACTCTTAAAGTCTTAAAGCGCTGAGAGCGTATAACAAGTAACCTACAGCAGAGGTGGGAATGCACATGTATCGAGTGCATCTGATGTGTGTACAGGAGTCAAAGATGATATAAACAATGGTTAATGGATGTGGGGCTTCTGTGTAATGCATCTCTAATGTGACCTGTGTTCCAGAGAGCCTGCAACATGATCCTCTTTTGCTGCACAAAGACTTGTCTGTGAATCATACTGTTGATCAGTGAGTGTGTGTATGAATAAAATGAGTGTGTGTGTCTGTGTTTTGGAGGGGTTAGATTCTCTCTTATTTTAAATCAGAGTGATTATCATGCAAATTAAGAGTGTAGACATGATCAAATATGTATAATTTTGATTTGTGTTTGCTTCAGTTTAGGACTTTAAAACATAGTTGGATAGTTGACCATCATTTTTATTTTATTTTTATTAAGATTTCAGAGTACAAGTACAATCCTGTGTGAAAACCTGTGCCAAATAAATATGTGACCCCTAACGTGAGCCGGAAAGGGAGTGTTTTAAGTGCTGTTAAGTCTTTTTTTAATTTGATGTTTTATTTTAAATTTTCGCCATTTTAATCACCTGGTTAAATTAAATAGGCTTGCAGTGTGACAAATGCATTCATAAATGAAATGAAATGCATTTAAATGTTACATGTAGTAAATAATCCATGTATATGGATTTACATTTATTTATTTGTCTGTTTGCCCTGGCCTTTTACAAAATGCTTCAGAATGTATTTAATCTGCGTTTAAAGTGCTCTGTGGTTAATGTAGTTCAGTTGAATAGGCTTATTTCATCTTATCTTATCTTATCTTATCTTATTTTATCTGGAAAGAATAGTGGTAAAACCAGAAAAGTCAGAACAATCACTTAATTTTGGCTCATTTTCCATGAAACAATAAGTAAAATAATTCTGTGGAAATTCATTATGAATTTAGAATTACCCTTTTAGTTTGCAACCATATATATATATATATATATATATATATATATATGTTAGCACTACTTGTTTCACTTCTGTTTCAGTTTTTATAACCATTTCTTATATATATATATATATATATATATGTTAGCACTTTACAATACAATTCCATTAGTTATTGTTAGTTAATGTATGAACATGTCTGAACTGATCCTTAAGACCCAGCTGGCATAGTCGATTCATTGAAAACATGTTTATTTTTTAAAGATTTGTCAAAGTACTGATGGCACAATGATAAATGATCAGGGTGTGTAGCCCAGTCTGGAATCACCTCAGCATTTTAATTTTATTGACATGCTGGGTGTGTTTTCTTTGATTTTAAATGTCAAACCCTGTACGTTTCAAGGAACATAATCTTGGTTTGAACAATTAACTTGTTCACTGTGGCAAGTAAATCATTTTAGGTGGTGATTTATGATCGCAGATTAAAAACAGATTGCACTGGTCTGTGCTCTAACTACTTTTGTTGTGTTTCTCAGGCTGCAGTACACACTGACAAGGTGAGCCCACTGAAGGAGAAGTCTGCCACTGCAGAGAACGGATCTGTCCACACTGATTCAGTCAAAGCAGAGCCACAGGTGACTGCTGACGAGGAAGAAAAGCTGCGAAGGCAAGAAGAGGAGGATAAAGAGGAGCTAGAGTTTCCTCATGATCTGCTGACCAGCATAGACCTTGACCTCAGCACTGAGCTCAGTCTCACCTGGGGAACCTCACTTGGGTAGGTCTCAACAATTTCTCTCTCACACACAAACACATCAATTACCTCAGAGAACTGTGCTGAGGAGCAGACCTGTCATCTGAGCTAGGGGCAAGTTTCAACAGGACGGCTGATTCTTTTGAAAAGTTGTTCACATCTGATGCAAATTTTTTTCCACCTTCCGGTTATGTTTTGCATACTGGTAAACAAAAAAAACTAATTTGCAAGATTTGCATTCTGGAAACAAAAATAGAGATTAAAAAGGTGATAATGGTTCATGTGTCTAGTGTAATTAAAGGTATTTTTTATCCAAAAACGAATTTTCTGTCATCATCATTTATTATTATCATTCCAATCCTAAATTACTTTCAAGAGCAGATATTTTGAAAAATGTCTCATACAGGTTTGAAACGACATGAGGGTGAGTAAATGATGACAGAATTTAAATTTTTAGATGAACTATGAAAGTTCAAGTTCAAGAAAGTTCAATGAAAGGTGCCATAAAATTGTGAGCTCACCTGGGAGGGAGTTGAGGACGCAAAGAATGGAGCAAGTTCATATCAGTCTTGAAACTGGAAGCCACAGATTAGATTGGACTCTGATACGCGCTCCCTCGTTTATGCCTCGTCTTACTAAGTTTCACTATCAAAGCAAAACACAGGACTTATTATATGAAGATCCTTCCTTGTACTTGCTTGGCTGGATAGAGTGAATTTCCATTAATCTCCGACTCGTTCCTATGGAAAACTTGACTGAATGGACAATTGGCAGGCCTACAAAAGAGCTGCGAACCTTGCCAGCTGTTAAGGTGGTAGAACCCAGACACACTCGATTTATATGATTTAATGGAGGTAATGCTAATTCAAATGAAAGGCTTGTTTGTAGACATCAATATTTTACGTAATAAATTATATTATTTATACATTTATTATCTATTATATTTACTGTGTAGTAAGTGTATATTACAGCAAGAGTTTCTCCAAGTAATTTCTGCTATTAGGTTTCTACCGAATAAGTTTCCATCTGTAGACATATGACAAGTTCTAGGAATAAAAGGACAAAATCTGTGAATGTTGTGAATTTCACATGAATAAATCTTGCAATGCATCACCATAGCCTGATAGTGGACAAAATGTTTGTTCCAAAATTATTTTGATAAAACCTGTCTTCTTAGATTTCTTTTACAGCTTGATTAGTAATTTAATCTCTAATTTATGAGGCTCATATTCATGGGTATTTATTTGTGTATGTGTGTGTATAGTTGTGAGCAGGGGAGCTTGGGTGAAATGAAGAATGAGGCTGTGGCACTGGGTGGCACTGCCAACCCTCTGCTGGCAGGCCTAGAGCACCACATAGGGGCCAGTCCACCAGTAGTGGGCCTCATGAAGAGGTAACAGAGGAACAATTAAAATGGAGACAGAGAGATACCAGTCTGGCATAATAGACAGACTTCGTTAATTTGGCCAAAGTGTATTCATGTTTTTATAAATGTAATAGATTTTGGTGAGATCTCTTTTGCTCCATGTTGTGTTTTGGGTGTGACTATTGATGTGTGCTGTGTAAATGGAGTTCCAGTAAGCACAAAATATTTTTACTTTTTAAAATGTTGAATTTCAGTTGCAGTTAAGTTACTGTGTTGAACAAGTTTAACAAACATCACATAAAAATGTAAAAAGAAAATAAGAAAAACTGTGTAACCAATGTGCATTTTTATGTATTTGGATTACAAAAAAGATCAGTACCAAACAGCAACTTTGAGTGAAAAAAAATTAAAGTTGTAAATACATCTTGTTTAAGAAACATAAACATATCTACCTAAAGTAGCCTAAATCAATGTCGCATGCTTTTATGTTTTACAAATATGGAACAAAACTCTACCAAACTGTTTTATTTAGGTTTATATAATGTAATCAGTGCATTTAAATGGAACAGGCTTTAAAAAATGAAGCAAAAAAATATTTTGTGTTTATATCATATTATGTGTTTAAATATTTTGTGAACAAAATGCAACAAGAAGCAGCTTGCTTTTTAATGGTAAACACATTTAAAAATGTCTCAAAATCAGGTTGGACATGGTAAAGACAGGTATAAAATGTTTCTGAAACATTGTTAAAATATGTAATTTTTAAAAATATATAAACATATTTTATTTACATACATGAATACATCATCTGTCATGTTAAGTATTTAGGATCAAAAATGTTTTCACAACCTTTTCTTAACTGGAAAAACATTTACACAAATGTAGTTGTGCTAGCTGTTGAACATGGTCGGCTTTAAAGCTGGTTGAGTTGGTTTGCTGTGAACTAAACTAGCATTGTTTTTGGTTGTGCTTTGATCGGGGAGCTGACATGACTCTTTAACACGCATGAGATAAAAGTGTATGGTTTACCACACTAGATCAATGTACAGCTTGAGAGGTGTCCTCCTTAACAGGAAGCCATGTTTGAGTGTGGTGTGCGTATATTTGGGGTTGTTTTGTGTGTGTGTGTTCATTTTTTTTTTGTCATGTTGAGAGAGTTATCAACACATTATTACATCTGGCTGCAATTGCATAGACTTGTGCGGACACAGACAGATGAGATCTACATTCATACTTGACATACTTGACATGTTTTAAGGGTGTACTTCATGTTAGTTTCTTTCAGCTAAATACGACTAAATAATGCTAGAGGGAACTGTATGTTTTTATACTATTTATGTTTTTAGTAATATTAATATTTATATATTCTAGATTGTGTGTTTTATTTTTTTTGAATACTTTATTTATAGGCATTTCTATTAACAGGGGAAAAAAAATCGAATAATAAAAATTGATAGATTGTGTTTTTATACTAGAAAGGTGATAGAAATTCTCAGGCAAGGGCAGAGTATTGTGGGTATTGAAATTCTGCCTGATAGTGCAGTAGGGAGTGGTTGCAGTTCTGTAATTCATTCAGACATGCAATATGCCAAAAGACCTCAAGTAAGTTTTAGCACATACAAGCATAATTGCTGTAACTTAAACTGCAGTACAGCTGTCTGACTTTCCAGTTATGCCAGAGAAGGGTTCTAAACTTTTTTTTCTTGTCTCCTCTGATTGGGAGTGTCAGCTTCTAGTCATAATCACTTATTGACAAAAGAAAAAGGCTCCGTGGTTGAGCCTGTCATCATCCATATCAGCAAGTTGGCAGATCACATGAGTGCTGTGGTCCAATCAGAGAGAAACCCATGAGGATCTGCTTTGTCATTTGTTTCCATTTGAGGTGAAGGTGATTGATACATTTTTAGTCTAAAATGACAGGCAAAAATGTGTTAGCAAAGCTGTCTCTGTTCTGTTAATGCCCCAGGAGGCACAGAAAGAAGCACAAGGTGAGACAGGCAGTATGGGGGAAGCATGGTTGTCATATTAGATCAGCTTAGGCTACTTTTTGGGATGTTAGTCACTGACTGTTTTTCAGCTCTTAAACGTGATATGCAGAGTCATAGTGATTCACCAGGCTCTATGATGTCTGCCGTAATAAGGTTGCTAGCAGGTTTTTTGGCTGGTGTTCATACGTATAGGTAGTCAGTTACACTGGTTCCTTAATGGGTGCTAAAAGCATAGAAGCATTAACCTTGCTCTAAAACAGCATGTGATTTTTCTGCCAAGTCCACAAGACTTTAGGCTATGTCTTTATGAAGGCTTTTACTTGGCAACCACTCTCATTTCACCTTTTCAAATTTACAAAGATCTTGATTATATAATCTCATTGAAAATTTAACATGATTGCAAGTGATTTATACTATTCATAAATTTGAAATGATGAAATGAAGTGGTTTACCCAATGGGAAAATAAATAAATAAAAATCATGGCACTGTGTATAGTAAACCCTTTTTTTTCTTACACTGAAGAAAAATATTTTTTAGGTTCTTATTTAAATATCTAAACATCCTTAAAACAAGGTAAATTTACTTGAAACAGAATTATAATAAAAATACTAATTTTCATAGAATATATCTTGAATAAAGTTTATTAATTCACTAAAGTAATTCACTAAAATTTGTTAGATTTATGTTTAAAACAAAAACACTGTCACAGAGGTATGAAGTATAATCTTAATTCAAGATATATTCTTGAAAAAAAAAACAAGTATCATAATGTAATTTACCTGGTTTTAAGACGACAAAATACTGAATAATGATTATTATTTTTTGCAGTGTGCGTGTGTGATTTTGTTTTTTTATGCTTTTAAAGCGATTAGTTCTGCCTATGCATGAACTCTCATCCTGTCTCCGGCATGAGGTGGAGTGGAGTGCTGTGGCTTGGTGTGGAATGAACAACTAACTGTTTCTCAGAGCAGTTTTATTCTAATGTATCTTTTTTGGTGAACATTGATAGCTGTGATGGTGACCAAGTTTCTACTGAGAGAGCATCACTGACCCAAGCCCACTTGTCTAGCAAATCTCAGCAACATGTTCCATCCCTCAATCCTTTGGCTGCCCAGATGGATTATGAACTCCAGGAAGCTTTAAGGGAACGTGAGGACGAAATGGCTGCTCTTGGCATATCCTCCCATGCAGACACATGGAATGCAGGTGATCTGGACAGGTGTTTCTCTGTAACCGTGCCTGAAAGTTATGAGAAAAATCAAACCGAGAAAACTGAAGTCAAAAAGGATTTTGGTTCATCTTCACATAAACCTGCCAAATTTCATGAAGGTTGCCATGGAAACGATGGAGCGCACACAAATGACTCAACAGCAGGTGAAGAGGGGGTGGTTAGCTTCAGAGATTATGTTCTAGGAAGAAAGCAAAGTAATGCATGTGCAGCTGGATCTGAGGATGTCAAAAACATTGAGGATATAACAGAAAACCACAGAGAAGAAGCAAGCCAGCTGTCAGAGGCAGAACAGCAAACAAAGTTAGAGATAGAGACAGAAATAGACGCAGCTGAGAACATAGCTGGTCAACAAAAGACACAAAGCATAAGGACACTTAGGACAGGTACACAAACAACATCAGAGTTTGATGAGGAAAAGGAAACACTTACCCAGGATCAATCAATACAAGATATCTGCTCTTTGAAATACACCCTGGAGGATGAGAGTCCACAAGATGAAGACAGAATAAATGTTATAGCACAGACAACCCAGAGAGAAGCAGGAGTAATTCAAGAGACAAATCCTTTGAATGAAGAAGATATAAGTTCTGCAAAAGCTACACAGATGATTCAGAACTCAGATGAAATAAAAATAGAGACACATAGTCAGTTAATTAGTGATTCACTAACGTGCCCATCCACACATACAGATAAACATTCTGGTCACACGTTACACTTAGAAGCTAAAATAAGCGTACAACCAAACATACAGAAACAGGTGGAGTCAGGGACACATCAGTGGATAAATGGACAGATAGAAACAAACACAAAAGTAGGATCAAGCCTTGACCATCAAAGGCAGGAATTAGGACTCCCAGAACAGCTGAGTCCTGAGGATAAACAATTGATCTGCTCCCCACCTCCAGAACCCAAAGCTCATCTTTCCCTGGCTGAGGCTCCACCTGCCCTGTTACTGGACTCCCCACAGGGTCCTGAGCAAAATGATGTCCAGGATCAGACAGATGGACCCTGCAAATCAATATCAGAAGGTGAAACCATACACCACAACTACTGTACAACAGGGGACAAACATGAGAAAAATGTGTCTGATGCATCTGCTGTTGTGATTGATTCCTGCCAAGCTAAAACAGCCCCTGAACATGAGCCTGTAGGGAGATGTGACTTAGAGACATATCCACTGCAGCAGGAGAATGGACCTCCTTTAAGTGGTGGAGCTGGCGCACATGCAGCACTGTGGGGGAATTCACATGCTCTGAGCCGAGCCGGTGCAGAAGAGAGGGAGGAGGAAGAGAGTGCCCTTGAATGGACTTCAGCAGAATCCGCTGCCTCCACATTGCTACAAACAACACCCACGATGCCAGAAATGATAGAAAGCAAGGGAGAGAAGAAGAGAGATGATGCGTTCCAAAGTGCTGCAATAATATTACAAGCAGCAGAGAGAGAATCGGACGTGCTGGAAGCAGATGAAACTCCAAGCTCAGAGGAAACATTGAGTGAATTTATAGCTGAAAAGGGACAAAAATGCACCTCAGTAATTTTTCCGGACATTAAGTGCTCACCTGTTCAGAAAGAGGAGGCGACTGAGGAGAGCTGTGGCAACAAAATGCCACACAACACAATGGAGAGTGAGAGGAAGGGAGGGGGTCTGCCGATCGCACTCTCCCCAGCCAGAGACAAGGATACAGGCACAGTCGATACAGAGGACAAAGCTCTGGTCACCTATTCCTCTCCAGGCATCCTTGGAACATGTGACTGGAAGGTGGAGAGTTCACAATCAAAGGAGAGAAAAGGAGAGAGCGAAGAGGAG